GACAGCCCCCCCCCGGCCCTATGCTGCCATGGACTGCGGCGCCATACTAAATCCCCCCTTCCGTCAGTTCTCCGAAGAGCCCGGCCCGACAGCGAGGAGAAGGAGCGCAAGACGGCGAGCGGACGGACGTTCAAGGTGGCGGCGTAAGCATCGGCGTAGTCTCGAGTTGCTCGTTGCTTTCGTGGAGAGTGAGAGTGGTATGTGCCTACGAACCACCTTAGCTTATGGGGTCTCGTTGAGACGGGACGAACAGGCAAAGGCAAAGCCGATAAGAAGACCATGGGGTTGGGTTGTCCTTTTTTTTTTTTTTTTTTTTTTGATAGAGTAGCGAATCAAGTTTACCAAAAATGCAAACGCAATGCTTCTCACACAGCCTTCCTACCCCCCCCAGCAACAATCTGATCGCCCATTCCCTTTCCCCCGTACGGATCCCCCACATTTTTCATCACATCTTCGCCAAGTTGGCACGCACGCACGGTAAAATGATGTGACAGAGACATGAAATGACAAACCATAGATGGTTATTGTTTTTATAGACAACCCTATCTACAAAAGGCTAGCTTAGCTAGCCAGCGGCGCGAGGTAAAAAAGACTCTTGTTCAAAAGAGTCTCACATGCATGTAACAAAAAGGGAACAAGTTTCTGACGACTGCTCTCCCCTCCCCATTTCTCTCAACAGAAACCCCCTTCGTCCAACCACACCGACGCGGGATATCCACCACGTCGAGAAACGTACATATTCGATGCCACAGCCACCAGCAACCAAGACCGGATGTCTCCGGATCCAGCTCCAAGGCAGTCCCAGAGTATCGTCAAACAGATAATAAAAAAAAAAAGGAGACGGAGAGGTCCAAGTAAAGGAAGGAAGGATGTGTGTAGGAGTGTCCGTTTCACCTCTGGTCCCTGCTCGGACCTGGTAAACCGGAAGACAACTCGAGATGTGGTAGATAGGTAATAGTGGTTGGTAGACATTATGTCATTAGAAAAAAAAAGGGGGGGTGGCTGCCGTCAAGACATGCGTCATGAAATGAACAGGCACACAAAGTAGAAGACAAAGAATAAGAGAAAAGAGAAAAAGTTGTCTGTGTCACGCAGCATAGTACAACGGCCAGGAGAAGCCTCTCCTCCCGTCTCCATTTCCTCCTCTCCACTCTTCGGCGTCGTATCGAAGGGTATCGAACCTAGCATCCACGGCCACCGCGCGAACGTTCATCGTATGGACGTTTCGATCGAATCGTTGCGCCAAAGGCCGCTTCTGTCAAAGGTAATAAAAAAAAGGAACGCCAGTAAAATCCAACCAGACCAGTTCGGAAAAGAAAATCAAAAATGTCGCTCGCTCTCAAAAAACGCCGTAACCCCTGTACCCTCCATTGTGACCAGCGCACTCGATGCGATGCACCTGACCCTGATATTTACACCCTCGGTGCGGCAGGCTGGCCCCTGCCTAAGCTCTCCAGTAGCTCCCGCGGCGGCACCCTCTGGATGCCGCTGCTCCGGTCGTACATGGACGTCGGCGCCGGCATGTACCCTTCCCTCTTCTTGCGGATCCTATCCAGCAGCAGGCCCGCGGCGACGATGAGGAGCATCAAGCCCAAGGAGATGGCCAGTCCGATGAGGACCACGCCAACCAGGGGCATGTGCTTGCCATTGTCCACCGTGAAGAAGTTCTCCTTCTGCACAAAGATGCGCGAGATCGTGCCGGCCTGGTTGCCAGAGTTAGTCGTAAGCACGTAGGGCTCAAAGGTAGTGCCGTTAAAGATGGCGGCTGATGTGCTCCCAAATTTGGGGATCTTGATCGAGCCAGTGAGCACGAGTGCCTTGTTTGCATCGACCAGGGGGCTTGATGCGTGATTCGAGGTAAGCGAGAAGATCTGGAGCCCGCGGATCTCGGTGCCCGCGTCGAGGGTGACACCAGCAGAGTTCCAGGTCTTGCCATCATACTTCATAAGGTACACCGAACCATTGGGCGCAGAGCCTGCAACCCAAAGCTGGCTGCCGTCGCTGGTGCCTGCCGTCATGACAGAGACTGGCCCGGGCAGTTTCGCCGCATCCGGGAAGCTATCCCACGTCTGGGTGTTCGGGTCGTATGTAGCAAGAAAGGTCGTCGTAGAGCTACCGTTGACAGTGACACTGCCGCCGGCAACGAGCTTGGTCTCGCTTGTCCAGAGAAGAGTGTTGACAGTGCCGTCCAAGTTCAAGCCAGGCCTGCTCCATTGACCGACCGCGGTACGGAAGACACAGACAGCGGGGCAACCTAGAGAGCCTGCAGAAGCAAAGGAGCCCCCGACGTATACATCGTCGTTGTTGGGGCGAACCGCGATCGAAGAGACAGTGCCATTCCTGCCGGATAGGGCGGGCGGTTGTGGGTTGAAGGCCCTGCTGGCTAGGTTGTACGAAATGAGGCCGTTCACTCGGGCGCCGTTGACGGTGCCGGTCACATTGCCTCCAGCATAGAGGTTATCCTTCTGAGCGGCCATAGTGACAAAGGTAGAATCGTCCGCGACACCCGAGCCGAGTCCGGTAACTGCATTGTTCTTCGTCCCGTCGATGAGAACAAGGTTGTGGATGGAAGATCCATCGGTGCCGGTTGCTGTGAAGTGACCGCCCATGATAGTGAGATTACGGTTCGAGTCCGTGTTGAAAAGGCCGGTAACGACTCCCGAAGGCTGACCGCTGGTCAAGATGTCACGCTTGGTCTTCGATGACTGAGACGGAGTCGAAGATGAGGCTTGGATCTTGACAGGGAATCGGCTGATCGACTGACCCAGGCTCGCCGCGCCATTCGCACTCAGCGAGGACGACGAGATTGAGCCAGCATAGAGAGCCTCGCCACCGGGAACTTGAAGGACCGAGGTCGACAGGACTCCACTGATCGTCTCAACGGGCAGGTCGAGGTTGCGAAGCCAGTTGCTCTGGGAGGGGACCCAAACCCCAAACCCATTAGCAGCAACAGCAGGGTTGTTGCCAAAGGCAGAAAGTTCCTTGAAGTCGCCAGTCACGGCAACTACAACCTCGGGTGTGGTGCTGGTGACATTCATAGTCAATGCCACGACAGAGTTGACTGCGCCATTGACACCGCTGCCCAGGGCACTCCAAGTGTTCTTGGCAGTATCATAGACGGCAACGTTGTTGAGATTCTTGACCTTGCCATCGTCCGTTGCGGTGAACTTGCCACCGACAAAGAGGTTCGTGCCGTTGATGAGCATGGAGGTTACAGCGCCGTTGAGACCACTGTCCAAGGCTTGCGTCGTCGAATCCTTGCTATTGACCGAGGCAATGTTCTTCACAGCCTTCGAGGTGAAATTGCCGCCAACAAAAGTGACATCTCCGGCAGTCGCCAAGGCATGGACGGCGGATTTGGAAGCAAACGTGGAGCCGAGCTTGTCGAAGGCCGACTTCTCAAAGGAGCTGATGTCTGCGGGTTCGGCCGACTTGGGATCGTACTCATACAGGCCGTTGAGACCGCCTGTCGAATTAATCTGGGTAAGGCCAATGCGCTGTGCAACAAAAGTCATAGTCGGAAGCGACTGGCCATTGAGAGGCGTCATCTGGACGGTTGGCCGGAAGCCATTCGTCGCCTCGAGGAAGCCGAAATAGATCTGATCGTACTTGTCAAAGTTGTTGGTCTGGTAGAGCTGGATCGAGGTACCAGGTTGGCCGCTCTGCGCAAAGACTGTGATGTTAACCTGTCCCCGTGTATTGCAGGTATTGTCCTGGAGACAGCCAGGGGTGTACATGTTGACCGAGTAGTTCCCGGATTGCCGGACGTCGGGGGTAAAGGTGATGGATGCGGAGTTGGAGGAGATGGGAGCTTGCAGTTGGGCAGTCAGGTACTCGGACTGGCTTTGGAAGGACGGGGAGACCGTGAAGGGGCCAGTGGCTGAAGCTGAAGAGATTGTGGCGGATCCTGAGCAGGTGGGCTCGTTGAAGTCGTTGATGGCATAGGCAAACATGTCACTCTGGACCAGTTCGATGCCGTTCAAGCCTCCGCCCTGACCATACCAGTCCGATATGTCCAGCCGGAAGGCATTCATGCCCACGTTGTTGACAAAGTGGAAGTCTTGGAACTTGAGGCTCCTGTCGTCGCTCAACGGGCACTCGCTGGTGCACGAGGCATTGCTTCCGGTCTTGGGGTCGATATAGGTAAAGTTCATGATGCCATTGATGGGGAAGGCGGTGAACCGGAATGTCTTGGTCCCTCGGCCATCCTGGTGCGTGTTGTATAACCTCAACCGGGTGGGCTCGAAGCCAAACTTGAACTCGGCCTTGAGGGAGCCCGGAGCCGTGTTCTGCAACAGCCAGGTGTTGCCCGGGCCGTCCACTCCACTGGTTTTGCAGATGATGTTTTTGGGATCGCTGAATCCAGGCAGGGTGGAAGATGATTCGGTCGTGTATGTCGCCGCTGAGAGGTTGATGACCTGCTCCGACGTGAGGTTCGAGTTCGTCGTGTTCCCCAGGCCAGTGAACTGTCCACCAAAGATGATGTTCCCGTTGGAAGCCTTGACAATCGACGTGACGGGCCCGTTAAACCCAGCAAAGGGTAGTCTGGTCCAGCCTGAAGTTCCGACCCAAGAGATGGCGTTTGTCGAGTTCGCTCCCTTAAAGTTCCCTCCGACATAGACCGTCTCCGTCTCCTGGTCGCAAAGCACTGCGTTGACCTGGCCAGACAACCCCGACAACGGTGTGACCTTGGAGCTGTTGGGGTTGAACAGCGCAATCGCAGGCGACTCCAAGTCTCCCAAGCTCGTGAAATCCCCACCCATTACCACCCCAGACAAAGTGCCGTCCTTCATGACGAAGGGACACATCGCTTTTATCGAGGCATCGGTCTTGACCACCGATGCAAACGCACCGTTGGGCATCCGAGCCAGCAGCGCCTCGCTGCCATTTGTGCTAAAAGGCTTCTCGGTCTGCTCTTCAAATTTGAAAAGAGATATACCCGAGAAGTCACCGGCAATGCCTATGCTTCCAAGTTGTGATAGGTCGAGGTTCGGCTCGGGCGCGGGTGTGAAGGTTATGGCATCGACGGAAAGGGACGTGACGGAGGAGATGGCGAGGAGATAGGAGAGGTGGTGATGCGGCCTGCTCCGGGCGCCATGGCGCCTACGGAAAGGTATCCGCATGTCGAGAGCCCGCCGTCCACGATGACCGCTGTGTCAAACTCGGGCCTCAAAACGAGAATCGAACTGTGGAATAGTATTCCGATCGCTGGCCGACTGGAGCGGACTCGAGGATCGATGTTTCAAGAAATCTATATGCTGTCCATGTCCACGCAGGGGTGAGGGAGGATGCGAATGAGGACGGACGGGACCCCAAGGTGAAAAAGATGTGGCGGGCGGTCGAGAATTTGGTGATGTCAAGCCGGGCGAGGAGGGGGGCTGCCGGATCTCAGAGATTGGTGGTACTGGGCGTTTCCGGTGAATCGCGGTGGAACGTGGCAGAGCGACGATTGTCTGAGCAGACCTGTCGGCGAGGTGAAACGAGCGTGATGGCGACGTGCGACGAAAAAAGTTGGTGATTAGAAGGCGAATTGATCTGGCGATGACAAGAGGCGAAGCGTCTTGGTCGGTCGGTCGGGTGATTGGAGAGTGAGTGAATGAATGTGTGTGTTGTGTTGACGTCGGTCGGTCTGAAGTTGGAATTTTTGGGTGTTGGGTTTCCCTGTTTGCCCTGCCTCTGCTATTTTGCGCAGGAGGTGGTGGTCATGGCCCAAAAGCAGGAAGGAGAAGGCAGAGGGAGAAAGAGGGTGTGGTGTGGTACGGGAAAGGATCGGGGCAGTACCAGAGAGAGAGAGATTGGGACGACTGGAGCTGCTGGAGGTGCGTGCTTTTGGTGCGCCAGTGCGTGTTCTGAGCGGGAGCGGGCCCTGTTGTCTCTGGTTCCTGGAGCTAGAAAGTACAAGTACACAGAGGGTACCCGCCTGTGGGTCCACCGCCCTGAGAGTCTTTCTCTTGATGGCCTGAGGAGCACTCAATCTCTTCCCAGTCCGGCGTCGTTGGGAGCTTGAGCTTGGGCCGGGGAGCACCCTGCAGGCACTCGCGAGGTACATGCACCAGGCCGTGGCGTGCAAGAGGGCGACGGGCCAGTGAGAAATGCAAGAGACTGGCCGGGAACTGGGATGGGGTTTCGTCAGTTTGATGACTTTGATTACCTGTGACGGCGTCGACTTCGCGTGCCGCCCTCTGGTTCGTCCCGGGACGCAGCTGAGGCCCACACCGACCACGAAAGCCCCCTTGCGCTAAACTCGTCGAGTGGCCGCACTACGACCCTAATCCGAGGCCCACTAACCTCACTGGGGATAGGTGGCTGCTTCACTATTACGAGGTGCGTCCAGAGTGCAACATTGGAATTGGCAATTCGAGATCGAAAGACTGGGAGACTGGATGCTTCCGCGATCAAGATGCCTAGGTACATTACACAGTCACCAACTGTCAATCAACATCAAGCTCGTGTGCCCTCATGCTATCGATTTGATATTTCTGAGCCGCCATGCGTCACCATGTCATCTCTCGACATGCGACACGGCTCGAGATTGCTTGCGACCAAAGGGTCCTTTTTTTCGAGGTTGTGAATGGCTGGGCGGTCTGGTCTGCGGTGCTACCCACTACCTTACTCTAATTGAAAGAACCCGTGTTTGTATATTTCCATGCATATCACAGCGCTTCCGACAGGCATCAACATGTTCAACGACAATGGTTTGAAATGAGCACTCGCTCGGCTAGGCTTCCTATCTACCTACCTACTTGTAGTTGTGGTTCATGCTGGACACAAACAAACATCGTTTCGTTCCGGATTCCACAGCGCCGTGGGCCGCCCTCTCTCGTCGAGAATGCGGGGACAGTCCAGGCCGGGATCTACGCTTGCCGGCAAACAAGAGCACCGACTCACCCAGACTTTCTTGTCGTCGGCAGCACCTGCGAACCTTGGGGATTCCCTGGTTCTGGTGTGCTCGCGTCTGCCCTTGTCGGAGCGCGCTGCTCATTGAAACCGTGACTCCGAAAGGCCCTGCTCGGATCTGAGGCCGAGTGCTGATTGGGTCAAGCCGAGGGCTTTGAGTCGGACAATACGTGCACAGTACGGCAAGGCACAGGTGTTCGTGGCACGCCTACGAAACAACCTTGAAAGTTACTGAGCAAATACGAAGAATTAAGTGGCACTTGCTTGGTGAGTCTGACCAAGTGGGCAGTTCAGCAAGGTACCAAATAGAAAAGAATCTACTACAGTATTCGAACACACATGGATAGGTATTTGGCAAAAGGAAGACACGACCGTATGATTCCATCATATCGTGACTGCAGGTCCCTTTCCTTGGCGAGCAGAGATGAGGAGAGAAAAAGAGGAAAAAAGAAAATTGTTCCTGCAGGTTGCAGCATGTGGCCTTCAGGGGTTCGCAAGGGGGGAGGGAGGTTGTGTCGTGCGCCCCAAAAACGGGGTTTCCTCTGTAACTGGTGACTTGTCGCAGGTGCTTAGCAGGGGGGGTCGCTCTTTTTTTGTGCACCACCAATCTTTTGTGAGATAAGGTAATCCCGAGATCGAAGAGCTTGAGAACCATATCGCCATCTGCGATATAAACAACATACCAGCCGGTCCGAGACGAAATCATCATAATCGTGATGTTTGTTTTGTCTTCCCACTTGCAAATTTGCATCCTGCATGCCAGCGACGTTCACCCGGTGATATCGCCTCCATTCCAGCATCAACAGAGAGCTTGACCAGATATGGTTCGAGCTGTCAAAGCCTCCATTCCTCGCAAATCGCCCGCGAGCAAGGTGGCCGGTCCTCTCTTTCCTTTCAACGGAGGAGTAAATGGCAGCGGCTGGGACCGAGCATCCAGATAACTAGGTAGTAGGTACTTGTGGTAGGTAGGTATCATATGGTTGCTTTTTCCCTCTTTTCCTGCCAACGGAGACCATGTTTCAAGCTTGCCCCAAGCTTCCCGCAAGGGGGTTCTCGTGGCGTCGCCTTGGCCTGTCTGCCGCTGCTACTTCAACAAAGTCTCTCCGTCGATCCGGCACGACTTCCACAAGCAAGGTCCCAGGATTTTGGGCTGTGTGGTCTGGTTTTAGGCCGGCCAGGCGTGGAGGTTGTGCTTTTTTTATCATTCGTTCTCCGTACGGAGTACGGGAGTACGGGAATACGGGAAATACGGCATGTATCTTGTGGCTGGGAGTTTGTATTTGTTGACCACGCCTCAGCAGCATCCACAAACATGAACAAAGATCGCATAAATCTCATCGTGATGCGTGATCGCTCCCGTGATGAGCAAAACAGCGTGTCAAAATTGCTGCTCTTCTTTCCCCGGTATGCGAGCACTGATCGCTTCGCATCGGGGATTGAAACGCCGGGTTCTAGAAGATCAATCGAGAAAAGGCGAGCAGATATGCACGCCACTTCATGCGAACCGTCTCTCTCCCCGGTACGGGCGAGGAAACACTCTCCGCCAACCATGGTTCCCTGAGCTACCTCCCCCAGCCAAGTGGGTGTCTGAATAGTTGACGGAAGTCCATCAGGAGCTACCTCGATCTTAACAATCAACATCCTTATCACATCCTTGCCCTAGGACTCGGAAGGGCTATCCCACTACCTACATCCAATGGGCTTGATGGATAGTCAAGTACTTCTGTTAGCAGTCCGTCAACTAATCTGCCCATCACTTGCCCAGCCCTCCCCTCGTCGGCACCCGCCATTCTCCTGCAAAGCGCTTGTCATGTAGTGCCACCTGAGATCACTGGGATGAAGGGCGAGCCCTTCTAAGTGCATCGTGTAACCTCCTTTCGGGGCCTGATGAACGTGCTCACGTTGTATGGACTTGCTGAATAGTAGAGAAGAAGCACGCCAAAGCCTATACCGATGTATAAATAGACTTTCTTTTCAGATGTTCCCAAGCTCGAGACTCAAGTAGTGAGGTGTGTAGGTCCTTGAAACGGAACAAACTAAAATCTGACAGTCGTAGGCTTCACCAATATGAATCGCCAGACCAGAGAAGATCAACCGTGATGCAGACGCTCTAGCTAATTTCACACATACTCTCCATTCAACCGCCTTCCATAGCATCAAGGCATATCACTTCTTAAGCTCCCCGTACCCATTGAACCAAAAAGGACCATCAACCCACCCCCCGCGAAACCCAGTACTCTCAAATCATATCAGAACTGTCTTTTCCGAACGTCCATCCACAATGTCGACCCCGGACATCCAGACCCTAAGCTACTACGGCTCCCTAGCCCTCATCGCCGTCCCGGGCTTCTACGGCGCCCGCGCCCTCCTCCAGCCCGAGGCCGCCCTGCGCCACTTCGGCTTCCCGCTCCCCCGGGCCGCCGACCCGGACACGGCCTCCGCCCGCGCCGTAGCGCTCGGCATGACGCGCATCTACGGCAGCCGCAACGCCGCCATCGCGGCCGTCCTGTCGACCGTCTGGTGGGCGGGAGACAGGCGGCTGCTGGGCCTGTGCGCGCTGCCGGCGCTGGGCATGGTCGCCACCGACGGGCTCGTGAGCCGGGCGCTCATCGGCGGCGGGGAGTGGGCGCACTGGGGGTTCGCGCCGGTTGCGCTCGGGCTCGCGGCCGGGCTGCTGGGGTGGATTTGAGGGGAGAAGGGGGAGACGGATGATGGTGTGTATGTGTGTATGTGATGGGGGGTGGAGGAGTGTTGAGTGGGTTGGAGGAAGAGGTGGTGAGGCATGCCTCTCAGTGATGATACATAACATAGTTACGTCCTTGCTCTAAACACCTCTCCTGGAAGAGTAGGGGATGATCACCGCCAAAGAAACTCATCGCTTTGCGCCTGTTTGTGTATGTATGTATGTCTGGGTATCAAAACGTCCACATCCTTCTCAAGAGCAATCCCTTCCACTCAACCCTCTCACCATCTCTCCCCTCATCCATCAAAACTTCCTCCCCTCCCCCTCGGCAATCTTCCTCTTGTACTCCCTCGGGCTCTCGAACACGCCCTTGCCGCCCCACATCCCCCTCCGCCTCGCCTTGGCCTTCGCCTCGGCGGCCCGGTACTGGTCCTCGAGGCCGCCGAACTCGGCGCCCGACTTGGCCTCGTACGTGGTCGCCAGCCCGCGCCGCAGCATCTCGAGCCCGACGTCGCGCCGGAAGAGCAGCCAGCGCCGCACCCAGACCGTCGCCACGACGCGGTCGTACTGGTCCCGCTTGTAGATGCGGGCGCGCACGGGCCGGTGCAGTAGGTACGAGGAGAGGAAGGCCAGGGCCTCGGCCGCGAAGGGCTGCGCCGGCCGCCCAAAGTGCGCGCCCTCGGGCGCGTCGATGCCGGCTATCCGGACGGGGATCTGGTGGGGAGGTAAGGGAACATCATTGTCAGCAAAAATAAATAACGAAAAGAAGGGCTCGGTGAGCTACTAGACATCACTAGGGAATGGCTTCAGGGACAAACAGGAAGAGAGAGAGAGAGAGAAAGAGAGACTCACCGTCCGCCCCTTGAGCTCCTTCCTCTCCTTGGGCACGCTCCTCGCCCACCCCCAGCCCGCCCAGCGCCCGCCGGGCGTGTGGAACATGTGGAAGTTGTCGCCGTCGCCGACGCTCGTGACCCGCCCGAACAGGCTGCGCCGGCGGAAGAAGTCCGGCCGGATGTGGTCCGTCCCCGGGATGCGCCGCAGGTAGGACCGGTAGAACTGCAGGCTGCCCAGCACCGTGGCCGTGAGCAGCAGCGTCGGCACCCAGTTGCGCGGCTCCTTGAAGTGCTGCCAGTCGGTCGCGTTGAGCGAGTCGTTCCACGACCGGGGCTTCTTGCCTGGTGACGGCGGCGGCGGCGGCGGCGGCGGTGGCGAGTCGACGCTGGAGGTGCTGGTGGCGGTAGCTGGGGGTGACTGCTCCCCGGACGGGGAGGAGCCCGGGGATTTACCAGGCCATGGCATTCTTCAGATGGCCCCGAGCGGCGCACAATTGGGATGCTCAATGCCTGGTTCGATGGGAGAGGCGTGTTGGGCGGGACGAAAGGTCGTGTCTGTGAAACTAGAGGGACTGCCCGTAACGCGGACTTTTACGTAGCTAAAAGAGAGGGCGGTCTAGAAGGGCAGAAAAACGCCACTATTTTCCTACCGGAAATCACGTCCTAGGCCTAAAAAAAACAACCCACACCCCTACTACCACTATATCTATTAAGCAAAAAGGTACGTACTATGGCTGTAATTTTGATTCTATAGAGCCTGGAATACTGTTATTTGAAAGTGTGTTAAATTCTCTACTAGATGATGGTATTATATAATGATTTAGAAGTGCTTTTTACTATATAGAGATTAATCTAAGGTTAGATCTAAGATATAACTATTAATATTCTAATATATAGATAGTATTCTTTAACCTATAGGTATAGTAATAGATCTTTTTATAGATAAAGCTATTAATATAGCTATATATAATATAGAAATAATAATAGATCTAGATCTATCTATAGCTAGTAATAAGACTAGTCTTACTATAGGTAGCCCTCTAGCTAATATTTCTATATTATTAGAGGCTAGTAACATTATAGATAACCCTCTAGCTGATATTCCTATATTGCTAGAGGCTAGTAATACTATAGATAACACTCTAGATATTATTTCTATACCTATAAATAATACTAATCCTATAGATAATCCTCTAATTAGTACTTCTATATTAGTAGAGGGTAATTATATACCTCTACTATTTTATAAAGTTTATTAAGTTTATTATACTTATAGACTAGTATCTAATCTTATAATAAGCTAAACTATAAACTTTAATAATACTATAGACTATAGTCTAGCTAATAGACATCCTTAAGATATATATATTATAATTAGTTATAAGTTTATATAGAATATCCTTAAATACTATAGTCTAGAGGCTAGTAGTCTTTCTAACTTTAACAACCTCTATATATTATTAAGGTATAGATCTATCTATAAAAGCCTGGTATCTACTATAAAGCTATATATCTAAAAGCTCTATTAGAATATTTCTAATATAATCTATATCTAGTAGATTAGATATATAATAATCCTTATACTACCTATAGCTCTAGAGCTTAAAATCTCTTATATAAAAATACTTATAACTAGTAATATACCTCTATAGGAGGTAATATACCAGCTAGATAGTATATTTAAACTATAAATTAAGAAGTTACTAGATATAGATAATACTTCTATATCTTCTACTACCTCCTAAACTTTTATAGAGCTAGAGCAGCTAATTAGAGCAACCTACTTTATCTACCCTTCTCTTATATATATAATTATAAAGCACTATAGACTAGATAAGGATAATAGGGTTTCTAGCTTATTAGAGAATCTAATAGCTATATATTTTTATAATAATAATAATAAAGATAGCTATTTATAGATACTATATTAATATATAATAAATATAGTTTATATATATAAAGTTATTTAACTTAGATAAGATGACCTAGTACTGCCTATATCTTCTTATTATAGAAGACATCATCCTATAACTATTTAATAGGAGGGCCTAGTAATTATTAGTAGGAATAAACTTATATAATACCTCTAGCTATAGAGGTTAATATAAGACCTATAGAAGAATAAATAGGCTCTATAGGTAGTAATATCAAACTACTTATTACAGCCTATCTAGAAGACCCTAATATAACTCTTATCCTTACTACTATAAAAATCTAGCTTTATACTAATTAATATATATTCTAGAGAAGAACCTACTAATATAAATCCTACTCTAGCCCTTCTTAACCTCTTAGCTATTAATCAGTATGACCTCTTATATATACTATAAGAAGGAGAAGATAGCTATAGAACTATATTATTAGACTATCTTATAGCTTGATTCTAATATCTCTATAAAGATAGGGATCTAGAAAAGAATATTATAAAGCTAATAGCTATTATTTTATCTAATAGTAGACTGATATATATTATCTACCTAATCTATAAAGCCTATATACTTACTATCTATAGGTTAGAGATAAAGTTATATACTATTATTTAATAGATACCTATATATATAACTATAGCTTATATATTAAAGCTAGATTACTCTAGCTCTACTTTAACTTTATAGATAAACTATATATCTACTATAACAATAATATAAGTATATTTAAAGGCTGTATATATAATAATAACTACTTAAAGAGAGCCTATATAAACTGCTACTTTAATAGAAATAGAACTAAGTATGACTACTATATAAAGAATCATATATAAACTAAGATAGAGGATGAACCTATTATTATAGTAGATTTAGAATCACCTACCTAGCCTAAGTTCTTTATAGCTAAGCATAAGACATAGAATAAGAGATCTATATAAGCTACTCCTGCCTCTATAGCCAGTAAGGCTACAACTATACTATATAAGTCTTCTATAAAGACACCTATAAAGGCCTAGTCTTCTATAAAAGCTAATAAGATAAAGAAGCTTGCTAAGGCTCTTATAAGTAAGAAGGATAATAATATAGCTAAAAGTAATAATAGTAAGATCTTAGGAAAGACTATATCCTATAAGAAGGATGATAACCAGGACCTAGATTACTATAGGCACTATAAGAGACTTTATACTAGTAATATCTTAGATAATAATATATCCTACTAAAAGCCCTATTATACCTATAGGCTAAATATAGATCTGTCTAGCCTCTTTACCAGCCTGTAAAGGATGACTGGTCTATAGAGCTTTAATAGTATATAGAACTTCTTAGATATATAGAACTTCTCTAATATATAAAACTTCCTTAGTATATAGAACTTCTCTAATACCTATAGCTTTAAAGATATATATAGCTTTAATAGCTAGTAAGATCTTAGAATCTAATAAATAGCTAGACTATAAGTATTCTAAGGACTATAGAGCTATAGTAGTATAAGAATAGGCTAGATAATAGGTTATAACTATATATAGTTATCTAATAACTATAATATAGATAAGATAATGCTAGTCTAGCTCTATCTATAGATCTAGAAGATATTATCTTTAGAGCTATAGAATTAGGCAGACATAACCTATAGCCTCCTCTCTATACTTAAGAAGTGGATTTAATAGCTATAAGGCGGCCCTTTATATAGTATATAGATATAGAAAGAGGTAGAGGATGATTAGTATTAAGGATAAAGATACCTCTATAGATAGATAGGATTACTTTTTATAACAGACTTTAGAGGTCCCTATAGATAAATAGAATTACTCTCTATATTATAATAGACTTTAGATATTCTATAGTGCTTTCTACTGCCTTTATTAATATAATAAGTTTAGAGGTTATATTAGATATTAAATTAAAAGGATTTTATTACTCTATAAGAGTACTTCTAGGTATACTATATTAAAAAGCTTCTCTATCTTTAGTATAGAAGGTAGTATAAAAAGACAATATATATCAGTAACTCTTAATATTACTATATAGAACTGGCTATAGGAGAATACCTAGTAGTATAAGTCTATTCTAATAGTCTTAAAGAACTAGCCCTATATCTTATTTATAGTTATAATAAAGTAGAGACATACTAGAAACTACTGTTTAGTAATCTTTATACTAAAGTCATAAGAAGATATATTTAGCTTAATCTATAGAATTATAACGATCCTTAATCCTAAGAGGTATGATTACTTCATAAGACCAGAGGCATACAGGTTTATGTAAGCAGTAGATAATAGGCGCTACTAAGCATTAATAGTTGATTATAGCTAAGATAGCTTCACTTAAAGGTACTTTATTAAATAAGATACTTTAAATACTAGAGAGCTATCTAGGGTAGGTATCTAAGGGTAGACATACATCTATATATATAGACAATAGATTACTTTAGATCATTATAATCTATAGTGACTAGATCACTTACAATCACTCATCCTATAGTAATTATATGATCTATACACTTCTGCCTATCTTATCATACTAACCACTCTTAGGGGCAGTGCCTTATAGTAACAGCAGTTGATTCTATAACATAATATCCCCCTCCTAGATTAATATCCTAATAACCTAAGGCTGTTCTTAAGACCTATCTACCTAGAACTATAACTTCTACTATAGGTGTTAAACTCTCCTCTTAATTCTTTTAACATCCTTCTAACAACATATCCTTAGATTGCATCAAGAAACAGAAACTTTCTGATTCTTCTAAGAAATATAAGGCCCTTACTTATTGTGACAATCCCTAATCCTAAGAGGTAAGACTACTTCATAGGACTAGAGGCGTATGGGTTTATGTAAGCAGTAGGTGATGGGCACTGCTAAGCACTGGTGGTTGATTGTAGCTAAGATAGCTTTACTTAAAGGTAACTTATTAAATGAGATACTTTGAATACTGGAGAGCTATCTAGGTAGGTATCTAAGGGTAGTCTTACGTCTATATATATAGGCAATAGATCGCGATGGCTCATGGTGATCTATTGCGATCCCTCATAGGGGATCACCATGATCTATAGTGATGGATTACTAGAGTCCTAAGCGGTCTGGTGGTCTATGCATTTTCTGCCTATCTTATCTTCTCTAACTGCCTTAGGAGGTGCCCCTGCAGTAACTACGGTTGGTTTTATGACATGATGTCCCCCTCCTAGGTTAACGTCCTGATGACCTAAGGCCGTTCTTAAGACCTATTTGTCTGGAACTGAAACTTCTTCTATAGGTACCCAACTCTCCCTTCAATTCTTCCTATGCCCTTCTGACAATATATCCTTAGGTTGCGTCAAGAAATAGAAATCTATAAAGACTTCTAAACAGATTGCACTTAGTGCGTATATCAACACTTATAGGGTAGAGGCAATACTATATTCCTATTGCTTTAAAAACAACCTAATGTGCCATATGGTAGAGGGCAAGTCATATTACAGTAACTATGTCTGACGAGGTCGTTCTTATGATGGTACCAGTATGGCTTCTTCTTATGGGTTCTTTCTCTAATCCTCACGCT